ATAAATAAATGTTATATGTTATATAATATTCTATATAAAATAGTGTGTTCATGTACACATACACACACATATATGTATCTGCTTTCTGCTTGCTAGAAACCAAGCAGATTCCCACCACCATGACCTTCTGCCAAGATGTTTTGCCTTGCCTCAAGCACTAAGCAATGGGGACAGCCAACCATGGATTGAAACCTCTGAAATCATTAGCCAAAATATATCCTTCTTCCTTTGACTTCTTTTTCTCAAATATTTTTATCACAGAGATGGAAATCTCACTAAGACAGCAGATTTTCACTTCCTCTTTAATATTCTGGATATTATTTATGAGAATGAGGCTTCCAGGGACATTTATAAAGAAACATCAGATGTCTAAACATGTCCAAAAGCAGGTATGTGGGTCTCTTACATTTAAAGATCTATAAGGCCTTTTATTTATATATTTTCTTTCCTTTTCCTTTTTCTTTTTCTTTTCATCTTTGTTTCTTACAGGTTTTTGCTCATTTTCTTTTCATTATGCTTCCAGCCAGAGTGCTATTATCCACACTTTGAATGAAGAAACCAAGCCTTAAAAAGCTTCAATAAGTAGCTAGAAGAACCTGGACTAGATTGATTTAATGTCTTTTCTATTTCAGTGTATTACAGTGTCACACATCATTTAAAGGATAACAGGTTTAAATACCTCTGTTGGAATATCATGTGGCAAATTTCTCTAATTGGCTCCAACATGAATCTGATGATATCAAGATAAAACCCAGAGCCTCATACATTATCACCCATCCAGATTCCCATTAAAAATAAAATGTGTGTGCAACAACTCATATCACGTTTACAACTCAAAAAGAGTATGTACACCATGAGAAAAAGGCCCCCAAATGAACCATTTGATTGTAGATCAAATGGGCCCACCTGAACACATGAACAAAATATAATAGGTTTTCTCCTTAAGAAAATCAACTACTTATGGAGCTCTAGCTACTTAAGGTGAATGTGTCAAGAATCCCGTTCCTCATTGCCTACTGTCTCTTAGAGCAAGAGCTCTGATGAGTGACACTGACAGATGAAAGCCAGTTGGTAAAGTGCTGACCACTGGTCCAGGACAGGATAAGTTTAATAAGAGGAAGCCTGTACAAACCTTCATAGCAATTTGACATTGCTGCACAATACAAAAATGTGACATGTATACCAATTTCATTAAGTGTCACACTTATGGAGTAAGCAAGCGACAGACTAGCCATCCATAGTAAAATTCGTTACTATGTTTGTAACGAATGTTTGTCCACTACAATTCTGATTCATGTAAAATCCAGAGTTCATTTTAGATAAAAACCCATTTAAATTGTTTATACTACATGGGATTCATTTTGGAAGTACCTAATTACAAAGAGTTAAAGACAAAATTTAAAACGACAATATCACTCAATTCATTTGGTATAAAAGCTCAAAATGAATATCCTGAAATTACTAAAGTTGCTTTATAGCTTCTCCTTCCAAGATCACCATCCTAACTTTGGAGTCAGATTTGTTCTTTGTCATGTGTATTATGAAAACAAAAAAAGGAAAGAATTCTAATATATCATATCCCCTATAAGTGCTATCAATCTGACCTGCATTAGTTAATAGGAAAGAAGAAAGCTCATGTATTATATTAAAATCTTTAAATGCCACTATGTCAGTTTTTGATCAAAATCTGAAAATTTCTCTAAATTTTTGTTTAATTCTGATTTAGGGATAACAGAAGTTAGTGTATAACAGTAATCCTGTTAACTGTCTGTATACAAAATTTCAAACAAAGGAATTCTTGACACCCCTTTCCTCTATTTAATTCGTAAAATATCCTTCCTGATGATCTTTGAGGAGCATTTTAACAGTGATTAGCTGGGCCTTACAAAGTTGTATTTGACAGGAGATTACTGTAGGAATTAGAGACCCATGAGACAGAAAGAAGGGGAGAGTAATTTTTCTTCATTAGTAATTATACAAAAATTATAGAAGTATACACATTTATTGAAGAAAATCAAGAAAAGAGGAATAAGACATAAGAAAAAATAATCAAGACAGTCACTGTTGTACAATAAAATGTGATATCAGGTACAATTAACAGGTCACTATTTCTTTTTAAAGATGGATACAATATCTTTGTTTACTTTATTTATTTTTATGGGGTGCTGAAGATCGAACCCCACATGTGTGAGGCAAGCGCTCTACCGCTGAGCTATAACCCCAGCCTGTTGAAGTCCCTATTTTTTACTTTGTTATATCATGAACATGTCAATAAATATGCTTGTAACATTTATCTTTAGTGACTGCCTAAGTTATGTCTGTGTGGATGTACCTGAGGAGAAAAATTTTCACTGTAATATTCATCATGACAGGGATAAAATTAATATGCTAAATTTGACAAAGGCATATCAGAGGAGAGAGACAACGAGAGGCTAAGTTTCATACTTACACATAATGATTAAAGCAGGCTCTGCCTCTTATTGAATGGGTCTGGATAAGTTTCTTGATTAAGACTCAGTTTTCTGGGGTTAATTGTGGTGTTATAAGATATGGTATGAAATATATATTTTAAGCATCTATCACAGAGCTTAACATAGAAGCACTCAACATTACAACCTTCTTTGATGATCAATTTTTCATCACATATATGTGGGGAAATGAATAATTTTAAAGAAGATGGATTTCTAGGTTTCAAGGTGACATGACTAGGAAGAAGATGCTATAAAAATGGAGATTTCAAGGATATGAACAGATCTGGGACAAGGCAGTTGTTAAGTTAACCATGAACACAAGCATCCATCCAAGGCTGCAATGACATTCTCAGATATATTGTTGGAGAACCTGCATAATGAATGACGATGCTTCTCCACAACCTACACATCTCAGGGCTGTCCAGACTCCCTGCTTACCCTTGACCAGCAATGCATTAAGTGTTCCTATGATGACCTCCAAGAATTAAGTAAAGCTTCTAAATCAGCTTAGCTTGAAAGCCTCCAAGTGACATATGCATTAAGAAAACCTGGTGAGATATCTCCTTAGAATAAAGAGGAGGGGCTCATGCTTTCCATTTAGATATAATCTCTGATAAGGAGGCCAGTGTTATGCATACTGTTCATATGGTTGCCACTGTACTTTCCAGCTATATGGGATATGTAAACAGGATACCTATCTAGTGACACCAGAAAGGAGGGTGAGTTAGGTAAGTACACAAATCCATTCCACTATGACAAAAGCAACCCAGTGCACACAATCTACAGACACTAAACCAATTCCTTTGGTTGTATTTATAAAGACTGCCTTGCTCTCAGAGCCAACATTCTGTTTAATACAGATTCTGTTTAAAGGTTGTTTTATATAAATTTTTATCAATATTTTGTATCTTATGTATTACTTAAAATGTTCCAGTAACTCTGCAGATTTGCTCTAGTCTGCCTTCTCAAGATCAAGGTTACCAATGCTTGGTAAAGAAATTACTAAAAAAATGATCAAAATGGTTAAGTCCAAATACATCATTCTGATATCTTATGAAGTATAAAAGTAGAATCTGTGTCCTAGATATTAAAATGTGGTTTAATTTAGCATGCACTTCACTGCTTGAATATCTATTCATTCCTTAGGAATTTCAATATAAAAAGTGTCAGTTACACACAGGAGTAACTGCATCTTTAAGTAGTCCAGGCTAACCTGAGAAGGAGATGGGGGTCAAGATTCCTTTGTTAGTTTCCTAAGCCAAAGACTGCACAGATTTCTGTAATTTGTCCAAAGTCATTTTCAATCAAATAGGAAATTATTCAGCATTTCAAACATAACACAACACTACCAGTATTCTTTTTTTTAAAGAAATAGACCAGAGAAAAAAACAGCACTGATATTCATCATGCAGAGCAACCCAACACCAGCTTACAACTACCAGTATTCTTGAAAATTCTGACAACTTCCTTTTTCATCATCTCCATTAAGAGAAAATATTAACTAGTAAGTGAATTGATGATTCACATAATTACAACCACACATTGTGAGATGACTTCTGAAATTTCTGTGGGAGGGCCATATTTGGTAATAATATTATTATTAAGAAAAATGCTGTATTATGTTCTATATCTGTAATACTGCCACCATGATACATAGTTACCTTGTAATAAACTTCAACAGAAATTTGAATTTTGGGAAAAATGATAGTGGGTTTCAATTTAAAATATTCATTTGTTTTATTTTTAAAAATAAATCTTTAATGCCTGTGGATCTCCCAGATCTATACCAATGCCAGGTAAACAAGTATGATTTGGTCCTTGCCCTTATGAATTAAATTGCATTCTTTTTATAGCTTCCATAAATTAAAGTCTAATTTGCAGGCATAAATTCACTTAATTAGAATATTGGAGAAGAAGAAATGGACTATAAATGAGATAATATGTATTAGATTAAAAGGCAAAGCTTTCTATGTATTATAAAAATAATTACAGCTATGCTTTAGATACAAACAAGTACATTACCAATAAATAAAGTGAAGGGCAGAGATTAACAACTATCCAACCCTGATGATTAGTAATATCAGTGAAATTGGAATATTCACAAAAATGAAAACCTGTGACTTCCTTTTCACCAACACATTTCTCATGATTAGTTCAACAATAGCTCCTTGTATTACCTTCCATAATGACAAACCAGAATACAGGGAGCTACTCAGTGGTTTCCCATTTCAATTTTCCTCTAAGAAATTAATTTAAGGAAAGTTGAAATGGTTTCTTTGCCAGGCCAGGGGAAAAACAAAAACAGCAGCCACTGCATAATTAACAATGTCTAGAAGATAGTTGTATTGATGCATTATTTTAGGAATTGACTTTATCTCATATGAGGCAACATTCTGATTTCTTGTTAAGTGATACATGTAATTATAGTTCAAAGAATAGCATCTACTAAAATATTACCTACAAATATCACTTCTAATTTAAATTATAAAGGATTAAAAGCAATATAATATATAAAAAGTCTCTACATACCATTGATCCATCGAGCCTCAGGATTGTGAAGCACAAAGTCTTTTCTGAACAGGTCTTCTAAAGACAGCTTGGTTTCTGATGAATTCGTGAGTTCATCTAAAGTAAAACACATGCTAGATTATACCCGATCTCATGTTAGTTTTTAAAAATAAAAGTTATAAAATATGGAATATTATTTCTTCAAAATTTGTTACCTAGATATCAACATAAAGTGGCCATTTTGATATGGATTATAGCTTTTGAACTTTTTTTTCATGAACATTTTAATAAATTATTTTTAAAATTAAATTGTCTTGATCTGGTAAAAATATATGAATCCCGTGTTATATGCTTAGGTATAAATGGAAACAGTTAATACTTTGTTTATCCTGTTAAAAAACACACTTTTTTATAGCTGTGTGTGGTGGGACATGCCTATAATCCCAGTGGCTCAGGAGGCTGAAGAGGATCACAAGTTCAAAGCCAGCCTTAGCAACTTAGTGAGGCCCTAAGAAAGACTTGACTCAGAATAAAAAATAAAGAAAAAAAATGTTGGAATGTGGCTCAGTGTTTAAATGTCCCTGGGTTCAATCCCTGAGCCCCAAACACACACACATGCGCGCACACACACACACACACACACACACACACATACACACACTTTTCACTATTTTACCATAACCCTGGCCCTCACTTTCCAAACCTACTTTTCCATGTTCTTTTTAATGGTAAATTTTCAGTTTTACTGTAAAAACCAAAGAAATAAGAGTTGAGGAACCTGCACATACACAATAAAGAAAATTGTCCAAATCAAAAGGAAGTTCGGAAAATAAATAAACACCAAATTCAACAAAACAATTATCACTCAACAAGTAGTAAGTAGATTTAGGAATTAAATGTAAAGTTTAAATAGTAACATGTTAGAATATAAACAAAAACTATATATTTTATATTAGTTCCCTAACAGACAAGCTAGGTGTATTTTCTTTTTACATTTGAAAAGATAGAAAATGAAAGGATAATACATCTAGAGAACCAAAATTAAACATTATGAATATCCTTTTAGACACAAAAGGCTATAGACAGCAATATTTTATTTTCTTTGGAAAATAATAGCATTGTTTATTTTCTGTTCAAATTCTTCTTTGTGACCTTTCAGCTATGACCTTCACTGATTGAAAATAAAATGTCAAAGTATATACTAACCTCATTAGATTTTAGTTTTAAAAAGTTCAGCACTTATTGCAACAACAGCTTTGTTTTATTCAGCTGAAAATCTGGGGCAAAGAGTCAATAATTTCAAATGCAATTTCTTTCATATGAATCAAGCATGTATTTATCCAACAAAATAGCTGACAAGAAATAACTGAATCTCACGTTCTCATGAAATATATAATGTTTATTATATATATATATATATATATACACACACACATATACACACATAAATTGATTTCACCCTTAGCATGAGACACAGATTTGCAAAACAAAACAAAATAAAATGTTATCCAATGACATACATATCATATGCTTGATAATATGATGAAAAATTTGAACTTTCTTAATTCATTCAAAAAATTTCAAGCTAACAAATGAATTATCACAATTATCACAACAGGAGACTTATCAATGACCTTGCCAGAGGAGTTTATATTCACAGAGCAAGGAATTTTATAGGTGTCAAATTAGGATGCAGAGTGCCAAATGGGTTCAGAGAGAGTAAAAGAAATATCATGCAAAAGGAATCAAAGAAGACCTAACTCAAAAATAAAGTGAACAAATCTCAATCATTGATGACAAGAATACAAAATTGTATGATCACTTTGGAAGATAATTTGTAAGTTTCTTACAAAACTTAACATACTCTTACAATATGATCCAGTAATTATACTTCTTGGAATTTATCCCGAAGGAGTTGAAAACTTGCACACTGATGTTTATAGCAACTTTATTTGTAATTGTTAAATTTGGAAGCAACCAGTGATGTCCTTAGGTGAGTGAATTGATAAATAAACTGTGGTATAGTCAAATGATGAAATTATTATTCAGTCCTTAAAAGATGAGTTAAGCAAGCCATGGAGTTCATAGCCCACTTGAATCAAATGTATGAAAGATGCTATGTCATGAGCTTTGTAATGTTTTGAACAACCAATTAAAAAAAGAAACTTAAATGCATATTATTAAACATAAGAAGCCAACTTGTAAAAGTTACATACTACATAATTCCAACCATACAGCAGTCTGCAAAAAAGCAAAACCATAGAGACAGTAAAAATATAAGCAGTTTCCAGGGACTTTAGGGAAGGGAGAGCTGAACGGGCACAGATCAGGAACTGTATGTAGAACAGTGAAAGTATTCTACATGACACTAGAGGGGTGGATACACATAATTGGCCAAATCTATAGAATGCACATCATAAGTGAACCCTAAAAGCAAATTCTTATGTTTCAATGTAGGTTCATCAACACAGCCAACAAACCACCTCAGAGAGGTTATTGATAAGAAAAAAAATCTGTGCATGTGTGGGACTATGGGTAGTGATATATAGAAAATTTCTTTACTAAATTTACAGTCTACTAAAAATAAAAAAATAAAATAACCTGGTTTGACAGGTGTCAAAGATTTATGAGAAAGGGAAGGGAGACACTTTAGTAAAAGCATAAGTGTTTGACAGTCCAAAGAACACTTGATTCTAGAATTCATTTTACATAATAGGAGTTTGGGGGTTTAATCATGTGAACTGGTTTTGTTGGAATTTCAAATATAAGTCTGTTTCTAACAAATTTATGAGATCTCTTAAGATCAGATTGGATGTAAGTAAGTTTCACAATATGAAGTATTCCAAAATTATAGAACTGCACCATCATTTTGTCTAACCTAATTCTTTTCAATTCTTAAAGGTATTATACTTCACCGTGACTATTTGATACAGAATTTTTCCCCCTTGATTCATTAAACTTATATAGGTTCAGTAGAGAGAATATACAATGTAACTGATTAAATAAATTATCCTTACTTACTATATTGAAAATTTTTCACCCAAGCATCTGTTCTTTTGCAATGATATTTCACCTCTTTCTACTAAATTCTACATACATTGTTTACTAGACTTCTCAGGAGGATATGGATAGATAGACAAATATATATCTCCAACCTCTAAGGTGAGTGTCCCACACCAAATAATCTTATTGTCAATTTCAAATTACAATTTGGCTACTCTGAAATATTTCTTTTCATATGTGAACTTCAAACCCAGATCACAACTCACCCAAATGAGAATCTTATTAAAAGAATACTATAAATACACAGAAAATAGGAAACAGAAAATATTTCAGTTTAAACTTACATTTTATGTACATAGACAACATTTTACCTTTGATTTCTCATTTATTTTCTTAACCTTTCATATTGGATTTAGTCCTAATAATTTGTGACTGTTGTGAATAGAACATTTCTCATTTGGTGGCTATATTATACACCACAGCATATTTTCTTAAAATTTTTAATTTTTAAATTTCTTATTTTTTCTATGCTACACTATAATTGCATTCAATTATATTATCTTAAAATAGTTTTTCTTTTCATTCTTTTCAAACATTTAAGCAATATTTTGTATTTCTATTTTCAGGAAATTGTAGATTCGCATACAATTATAAAAAAAATTACAATGAGATTCTGGTTACTTTTCAATTTCCTTAGTGACAAATAAAGAGACTGACATCAACCTTATCAATCTCATCAGTTTTACATGTATTCATGTGTTTGTGTGCAACTGTGTTTAATTCTTTGCAACTGATCATATGACCAATACCAGTCAAGATAAAGTACAGTTCTGTTATGGTTTAGATATGAGGTGTCCCCCAAAAACTCATGTGTAAGTCAATGCAAAAAAGTTTACAGGTAAAATGATTGGGTTAATCAGTGGATTAATCTACTTGAATGGATGAATTAAGTGGATGGTAACTATAGGCAAGTAGGATGTGGCTGGAGAAGGCAGCCACTGGGGCTGTGCCTATGGGCTATGTAATTTGTCCCATAGGAGAAGATCTTTCTCTGCTTTTTTATTTTCATGATCGAAATTTCTTTTCTTCTTTACATCCTTCCACTATGGTGCTCTGCCTCATCTTACCCAGATAAGCAGAATCTGCTCTCTATAGAATGAGCCCTCTGTAAAGTTGAGCACAAACTAAACCTTTTCTCCTCCAAAATTGTTCTTGTCAAGCCTTTTGGTAACAGCGACAAAAATGATGACTAGAATAAGTTCCATTAAAAGGATCTCCTGTGCTACAGTATTATTCAATACTTGCCAACCAATGTTCTTTTCAAAACTCTACAATTTGGTCACTTCAACAATCCTGAATAATTAGAATTGCATAGGACATAACTTTTGGAGATTAACCTTTTTCACTGAACAAAATTCTCTTGAGAGCCATTCAAGTTGTTGAGTGTATCAATAATCTATTCCCTTTTCATTTCTGAGTAATATTCCTGGGTATAAATATAGTACAGTTTATTTAAGAATTCACTCACTTAACAGCAGTTGTTGTTCTTTCTAGTTCTGAATAATCATGGATAAAACTTCTGTGCATATTTTTACAAGATCTTGTATAAACATATTTTTTTTCTTTTGTGCTGTGATAAATGCCCAAGCACACAATTGCTAGATCAATTGGTAAACACCTATGTAACTATATTTAAAAAATTATGAATACTTTTCTAGAATTGTTATAACATTTTATATTCTTAACATGTAAATGATCCAGCTGCAACTGTCAGAATTTAAGTGTAATTTTTAAATTTTTAGCTATTCTGATATATATGTAGCTAAATAATAATATCCCGTTATGATTTTAGTTTACATTTCTGTAATACTTAATGATGTTGAATATCTTTTAATGTGTTTAATTCTGATCTGCATATGCTCTTCAGTGAGGTGCCTGATTATGTTATTTGTCCATTTTCTAATGAGATTGTTTCATTGGTATGCTTGTTTAACTGCTGGTTTTGGAGAGTTCTTTGTTTATTTCAGATGCAGATATTCATCAAATACACAAATTTCAGATTTTTTTTCCTCATTCATCATCTTGAAAAAGACATTCAGAAAAAAAGTCTCTAA